AGACTTAACACATTTTTTTGGCAAGCTATTGAGAAAATGATTCAAACGGTAAAGGCACGTGGTAAGATGTAACAATAAAGTCTTCTATAAGATGGATTTTCGTTAATTTTATCAAAAAATGTTGTAGCTTTAACAATTTTTATGGTAACTTTTATTTATTTTAGGGTAAGTTTTAATTTGTAATGAGTTTTGATGGTAATTTATGTGTATTATCTAATGGATAAATGCTATAAAGACTAATATGATTCATCTACCAGTAATACATTATGAGTGCTTTTTAAAGGTATAAATTGTGTTTAAAAATGGCAACTTTTACACGAAGTACGACTGTACGAGTAATACATAAGGGTAACTTTAAAGTGTGTTCTATTTACCATAGACTTATTCCAGTTGTTAACCTTGGGTGACCCTTACTAGAATTTATTTTCCTAAATTGAACTTATTAGACTTGAAATAAGTAAAAATAAGGTGAATAGAACAAGCCATAAATAATTTTAAGCTAACTTTAACCTCTTTTACAATAAGTTATGTTTGCATCCAAGTATTTGTGAAGATATAATATAAATTGTAACAATTTAACACAAATATTTTATTTTATTTTATTTTTTATTTTTATTTTTTTTAATGGTCAAACAACAAATGGTTACAAAGCAATAGTTACACATAATAAGGTTCAAATTACCTAATAGGGTGGCTAACGCGCGCGATGCGTTCACCATGTTAGCCATTTTCAGAGAGCTATATGTAAACAAATATTTTTAGGGGTATAAATGTCCGAACATTGTTTTTAAGAGTTAAAAAGAGACAATTAACATTAATGAGGGCGAATAAATAAACACTATTCCTAAGATTTAAATCATTAAATTACACAAAGAAAAACTTAGAGGCAATTAACCGTATATCAATAGGGATATATAGGTAAATAAACATTTTTACTCTCTCCGTGTTTTAATAAGTGTTAGACTTAACAATAGCGGTCATGTTTTAATCATTATTTCTTTCCTCTTACATTCTTTACTTGTAAATTAACAACTGTATTAACTCCACTATTTTTTTATATAAATTTTTAATACTCCAATCACTCCACTTACCTCTTATTTTATTTAAGTCAATTAAATTGTCTATAACTATGTGACGGTCAAAGTGTAACATTTATTAATACACGAAGGAATTAAGGATATATGCTCTCACACTTTTCATATACTTTTTAAAAAGTAGGGAAATACAACCAATTGAAAAAAATCTAATTAATTTTACAAAAAAATGAAAAAATAATCAAAATCTTATCTCACCAAACATCTATACTAATATATTAAAAGGTGTTTCTAAAAACGTCGATGTGTCACGTAGTCCCCTTTTTTTTTTATTGCGCGTCACATCACCATTCCAACATCTCATGACGCCACATGCCACATCACCCAAGCAACCAACATTATTACTCCAAATAAAAACATAAGGATAAGAAGATTAGAAACCTCAACCTCTTATAACAAGAATGATTATTTAACCATTAAAGCAAATCATTAATTATACTATTAACATGTAAAAAAATTTAAATAAATGCAAACCATAAGGTTCAATTAAAAAAAAAAATACTCAAAGAATAACTCAATTTTGGTTTGACAATAACAATTTCAGTTTTGAAAAGTCTTTACAAGAATTTATCGAATGCACGCCTACAACAGTAGCAACCTGGGGCAACACCCGAACTACTCACTAGTTACTAATGAAAACTAGTAATAAAAGCCAAATTAAACTGCCGATCACTACTAGAAATAGGCCGATTTTCGACGGACTGTTTCCGACGGACATGGTTTTCCGTCGGAAATTCAGTAAATTCCGGCGGAATAATATTCCGTCGGAAATTTCCGACTGATTTCCTACGGAAAAATAATCCGTCTGAATTTATGGGTTGTCCGACGGAATAATCCGTCGGAAATTTAGTGTTTCGACGGAAATAAAATCCGTCGGAAACTTCCTACGGAATATTCCGTCGGAAAATTAAATTTCTGGCGGAAATAAAATCCGTTGGAAATTTCCGACGGAATATTCCGTCGGAATGTAATTAAATAATAAAAAAAACCTAACCCTACAAAACCCTAAAAAATTCCCGGATCCCCCCTTATATTTCTCGTTTCTCTTCTCTCTCCTCCCCTACGCCTCTCTTCTTCTCTTTCTCTCTCCTCTCTTCTCCTTTCTCCCGGAATTCTCCTCCTCTCATTCTCCTTCTTTGATCTCCTCCTTTTTCAATCTCCTCCTTCACAGCCACACCATTCCGGCTATGGAAAATTCTCCTTTTTCGATCTCCTCTTCTTCTTTTCAACGGCGACAACAACAACCACACCGTTCCGGCCACCGCGCAGCGACAACAACGACCCCAGTAGCATGGAAACCACCGCAACGACAACTACAATACCAGCCCCAGCAGCAACGACAATAACAACTGTACTAGATCTAGTTTTTTTTTTTTTTTTTTTTTTTTTTTTTTAAAAAAAAAAAACAATTCTGATTATAATTAAATTTGTTATAATTGTAATTTTATTTTATTAATTTCAAATGATAATTGTATATTTATTTAATTTGTTTGATTTCAATTTTTTTTGTTTATTTTTTTCGATTTATGGTTGTTTCGATTTGTGGTTGTTTTGAGTTTTGGTTGTTTTGATTTTTAGTTGTTTTGATTTTTGGTAAGGGAATTGGGGCTGGATCTAGGTAGATTTGGCGTTTCCGATTTGGTTTTTTTTTTTCCGTATTTTCTCGTTTTTATCGTATTTTTTTCGTATCTGGGTTAGGTGGTTGGTCAGGGTGGGTGGCTTAGGTGGTTGGTCAGTGTGGGTTGGGGGTGGGGGGTCTGGTCTGGGTTGGGGCTGGTGGTTCTGTGGGTAAGGGGTTAGAATGCGTGGGTTAGGAGGTTGGTTAGGATGGGTCTGGGTAAAGGGGTGGGGTGGTTAGGGTGGGTTTGGGTTAAGGCTGGGGTGGTTAGGGTTTGCTTGGGTTAGGGTGGGTTTGGGTTAGGGTGGGGTGGTTAGGGTGGGTGGTTATGCGTGGGTTAGGGTGGGTCTGATGTAGTGGTGGTTGTTGGTCTGAGGTGGTGACACGCCATGCCGGTAGTGGCGCGCTGTGTTTTTTTTTGTTTTTTTGCAGAAGATTTAAACGGAATTTTTGTCGGAATTTTCCGACGGACTTTCTGGTGGCCGGAATATATTTTCCGACGGAATTGGCGGTTTTTCCTACAAAGGGTGTTTCGACAACCAGTTATGACGGAATTTCCGTCGGATCAGTGTTTTCCGACGGAATTAAGGGTGTTTCCGACGGAAAAATTCCGTCGGAAATAGCCTGTTTTCTAGTAGTGCGATAACCAATAGCTAAACAAGATTATTTATTTTTTTTGGTTGGGGGGGGGGGTTGCTAACGGCCGCCAATAACAATATCATATTTGGCAGCCTAGTTCACGGCCTACTCGTGGCTCGCGACTCCACTCCCGCAGTCTGCTGCCTAGTTGTGGTGACCTATTGACTTCACGAAATCATGATACATTTTGGATTTTTAGAGTCTTAAACCTAATAGAAAATACTACAACTTTTGGTTAATTATATTGGAATGGATTGGTATGGAATCTAATACTAGAGAGGTATGGATTCTAAAACCCATACTAGTTGTTTGGTTTTAATGTTGAAAGTGATTGTAAATCTTAGAGAGAAAGGGGGTATGAGATTCCATAGATATGGGGTATAGTTAAAACCCTTTGGGTATGAGATTTCGTTACTTTTTAACTCAACCAAACAAAAAAAATAGATGTAATGGAGTCTAACTCCATTTTAACCCATTCCAAATTAAATAATCCAACCAAACGACCCCTAAATAGGTTTTGAATAGATTTATTTTCTGCTCCACATACGTTTATTTTGAGAGAGTTTTGTATTATGTTCTTCTACATAAATTCTAGGCCTTTTTGTTTTCAAGATTCAAGATTGCATTCATAATTTAATTCAAGTATTATTTTCTCCTTTCAATCCTCTTAATTTTTTTTACTGTGAATCATGTTTTTTTTATTTTTTTTTTATTTTTTTTTATTTTATTGATTATTGTTCTTTATTTCATTAAGATGTGTGAGTAGTTTTCCAATTTGAGATTTAGTGAAACTCAAATATGTATAATAAATGCAATTGAGATGCTTAATTGGTTGTGCTTAATTATGTCAATACCAGACTAGAAAAAATTATTAGTATTGTTATTATTCTCTTGTTCTAATCGCAACGAAAGTTGGGTTAAGTTAACGGATTTGAATAGATCAATTAAAGGTTTGAAATTCTTCAAGGAAGTAGTTTGAGGAAGCTAAGTAATGAGCTTAATGTCCTTAACTATGACCACGGAAGTAGGCTTATTGTGATTAGGGAAGCCATTGATAACTCGGAAGAGACCTCTGGTAGTGTTTAGGAATTGTTTTTCCTCTTGTCGATTGAATCATATGTTAGGGCTAGAACGGCTAATGAATTGATTATAGTCGTAGTGAAGTTTGATCTTGGATGCTTTTTATTATCGAATTTTCCTTATTATCTAGTTTATTTACATTAGATTAATTAGAATTCTTATTATTCAAATTGATTGCTTGCTTAGTAATTACTTGAGTTTGGTAATTAGTTAAATCATAGTCTCTTGGGATCCGACCCTTACTTGCCTGTGCATAGTAGTGGTTTTTTTAGCTTATTTTTATTAGATACGCAACACACCTATCAGTGTCAAATTACTTACTCAAGAGAGAAACATACAAAGCACGTACTCCTAACAAGTATACTTCAAAAAAAAAAATTATCTTGTACACGTGTAAGACTTGAACACATTCTGGGTGCAGGGCAGGGGAAGCCAAACTATACCGCCAATAGCTAAACAAGAATTTTTTTTTTTTTTTTGGGGTGCAGGTAGGCTTTATCAAAAAAAAGAAAAAGAAGAAGAGAAAAAAAAAAAAAAAAAAAAAAAAAAAAAAAAAAAAAAAAAAAAAAAAACTTGAATAGGCTCTCCTTTAAATCTAGTTGCGCTTTTAGTCAAAAAATACAAGGGCATTATGCAGTTCTTTGCCGAGGATAAGTAAAGCGCAAATAATGAGCAAAAGTGAACTACCATCTATGGGTACAAAGAATTGCCATGGGAACCACATTGTGAAAAGCCAGGCAGTTGCCAAAAGGATGATTACGATCGGTAATCTGATTTTTCCCATCTTGGTACGTAGATACCCTCGCTTCAATACCTCAGCCAAGCAGTGGCAGCGCTCCAAGTCTTTGTTCACTTGATAGCACAGCATTTTAAAGCAAAATTTGCTTGGCATATTCTTTGTGACCAACCTCTGAAACATATGCAAAACACTTAACCCGTTTCCCAAACCATTGATGATGATCCCTTTGTCCTGGAGCAAATTAACATCCTCTTGATTCTGGATCAACTGGCTCATCAGAGCTACATATGATGCTATTTTCGGATCGGTTTCCAGCCAATACTCAAAAGCCATAAGATTGCTCAAGAAGGATTCTGTGCAGTCAGTCAAATGCAGAGGAGGGATCTTGAAAACAAAGTTGGCATACTCGATCTCCGGCAGAGTCCTTTTCGGTGCCACTATGAATATCATGTTGCTGTTTTTAAGTACCGAGGCACTGGGGATAAATGCCGTGGAAGGATATGTGCTGTTACATTCCATGTTGTCGATGTTGATGACTGTGTCAGTACCTGTCGCTACCTTGTAGGTGCTCAATAAAATGTGTAGTAGATGGGTTTGAGATTCCCCACACTCTTGAATTGGTGTTGAAAGGAAGCAGGCATTCTGCAGCAATGGTTTGAAGAAACCGAGTGCCATATTTGCAACAAAGTCTTTTGGCAATTCATCATGTTCATGCCCTGCAATTCTACGAAATAAATCTTCAAGGATGAAGAAAGGAATCTGATTTTCTAACAAAGCCAAGTCAAGCCTGAGAACATTCTGTGTCCAAGATACGTTCAACAGCGGATCATCAGCATCAGTATTCTGTCTAAATATGGGATGATCATGCCCTCCGTTGTCACTTTTATAAAATCTTATAAAAAGCTCCAGTATGAAGCATCCGTCTACCAGCAGAATTTTATCCAAGTCAACTGCTGATCCTTGAGAAATAAGAATAGCTTTCAACATTAGCTCATATTTATCAAGTCATATGTATACATACTGAAAATTTTATGGTAGTCATCCTTAAAATAACTACTATTTTACTAATTTTTTTTTTAATTTTTAATTTTTATCAAATCATATACTCCCTCCGGTCGCTATTATCTGCAACTTTAGAATATTTTATACCTCACAAAAAATGCCCCAAAGTTGCAGATAATAGCGACCGGAGGTAGTAGAATTATCCGTATACATGCATGCAGGATGCAGTTTTAAAGAAATAAAATGCATTATTATTAAACTTGCTGACTGTTTTGAAATTACAGACTTGCTAGACAATTTTTGGAGCACAGAGAGATAAAATTAAGAGGCTCATGTGATATGAAAGAGATAAAGAAAATTTAAAGTGATGCATTTAAATTGAAACTTTCATACATAAAAAAGTAATGCATCTAATAAAAAACAAAGGAAGTATCATAATCTAGGAATGGTAAGTAAAATTTCCGCTTACCTATAATCTAGATAAGCAACTTCCTTCATTTATAATTTAACCGTGATTTCAATGTTTTTGCCAACCAAATAATACCACATTCTTCCCTAACATCTACTTAATTCTATGATTTCCCTATAAAAAAAACCTGGGCTAGGAGCGTGATCTATATAATTAATGATTGCAGAATAATTGATAGATCTAGAAATACAATAAAGTGAAGGAAAAATGGTGGAAAATTAAATAACTTTCCTCTCAACTGAATTCTACTTTATCTTATCTTTTTAATTCTGAAGCTACTTTATCTAGATTTATTAACCCTTATATTATATGAATTTATTAGCCAATGATTTTATCGGTCTGAAAAAAGTGACAATGATATGAGGAGAAGTTCATATGGAACCTCTTTTATAATGGTCATCCTAATTTGGTATGAATAATTAAGCCTCCAAGACAAGAAATTCATTGTGTTATTATGATATATATATATATAAGGGAAAAAAAAGGAAAAAAAAAAGCCAGTCTAGTTCAAAAAAAATTTTTTTTAAGGGTTTTGGGCTAGATCAGATCAAATAGCGAAAAATTTGTATTTTGCATAAAAACGATCTGGATCTCTTCGATTCGATCTGAACTGGCTTTTAACACCCTGTAAATTAGGTATCTGGTTACCCAACAAATACTAATATAGTTTGATTGGTGCTTAATTAATGAAAAAAAAAAAGTTATTGAAGCCTAAAGAAAAATAAACCCCTAATACATTACAAAAAAAAAAAAAAAAAAAAAAAAAATTAAAAAGTTGTCAATTATTGGTACATAAATCATGGTAAAAGCAGCATTCTCACCTGGTCCTTGCGATGATAAGATATGTCCGTAGCATTCCCGTAGTTCAGTATGTTTCATTGAGATTTCCCGAGCACAATCCATGAGAATATTTTCTGAAGAAGCGGATCCATTTCTTGTAATAAAGCTAGCCAAGTATCGCAACTTTTGGATCTCCATGCTAGCAAATCTGGCATCTCCATGATGTTTGGGACCAATCGAAACCAGGCTTGGAGTGTAAGGATGTTCACTGGGACTGCTACACCTTAGCTTCAGGGGAAGCTGATACAAACTCCGAGCATAATTTGTATCCATACTACCTTTTGCTGCATCCATCTCTTCCTTCAAAGCCGCAACCCACGCACAACCTCTCACTAGATCTGACATCTCTCTGTTAGAAAATAATTTTTGGGATGAAGAAATAGGGACGCGTTTACAATGTCCTTAAAGCAATTTTAACCCCCATTATGATTGCTATGGGTTACCGGTTAATATGCTTTTAGGATTTTTCCTAAGTTCGAGATCAATTAAAGCAATGTAATTGAACTCCCAAAGAACACTATAAGAACAATTAGAATAGAAAAGGAAGAAGAAGATAAAAAGTGAAAAGTAAGTTATAATTTTGGAGTCATTAAAAAATATAATGAACAACCTTTTCATCTAAGAGTCACCATTTCCAAAAAATAATTAATTAAGATAATCTGACTTTTAATAATAGTCACTATTATCCTAATCAATTTAACCGTAGGAAATTTACCGCTTACACTCGCCCGATCGGGCAAATAAACGTACAAATCTTTTAACTATGCTCGCGCGCCCGATCGAGCAAAGCCCGCCCGGTCAGGCCATCTATACTTCAGAAAATAACTTTGCTCTCGCGCCCGACAAGGCTAACTTAGCCCTATCGGGCGAGCAAATATTATTTCCTAAGTATATGTTCGCGACACGTTAAGATTTTGTTGTACTCCAAATATTAAACTTATAGACTAGCTCCAAGTTAAATTTTTCTATTTAACCAATGTGGGAGTTTCTTCCCAACATCAAGTTAAATAGAATAGATTAATTTATAAACTAGCTTCATAATATCCTCTATTCAACCAATGTGGGAGCCTTTTTCTAACAACAAGTTAAATAAAATTGAACAAGCTAACTTTTTCTATTCTACCAATGTGGGACTTCCATCCAACATTTAGCTATATAGACTAACCTATATAACCAACTTTTATTCTACCAATGTGGGACTAATTTCCCATCATTTACAAAACCTATTATGAAGACTATTCTAACACATACACGTACAGCAATTACTTAATGCATGCTCTCTCTACCAGTTTTTATTGGATATGAAGAGACAAAAGTTATTAGGTGGCTTTGCGTTACCCTTACGCACTACGAAAACAAAGTTGTCTTCCACATTATCAACAAACGCGTTGTAGAAGTGATGAATACTAGTACGAAATAAAACGAAAGTTACATACATATTCGTACATTTTTATCTTAAAAACGTGTAAAATTGTTCGAGCAAGTTGCAAAGGAATGAAGGATCAGTAAAAAAAGTGGCAGTTAAGTAAGGGTAATTCCATGTTCCTCACTGTGAGGAACTCTTGTTCCTCATGGTATATGTGTCAAGAGCAGAGAAGTCCACTCATTACACACAGGTGGGTCCCACTGAAAAACATCACATTATTTATCAAAATGACATTATGAGTTATGATAAAAGTAGTCGATGGTTCGTAAGACGTCGTTTAGGATAGATTCCAATATGGCGAGCTGTACAGGGTCCCGACAAATAATACAACGTGTGTTCAGAAATGAGATGAGGAGTATATGGCTATATGCTTTTCTATGGTTGTGGAGTATTTGCTTTTCTATGGTTGGAGTATATGCTTTTCTATGGTTGTGGATAGACATGATAATTGTAACTAGGTACGGACTGAGGAGTAAAGAAAATTCAAAAGCTAGGTTGCCTAGGTACATGATAAATTTGTACATTCAAATAATGTAATTTGCTGTATGCTAGATCTTGAATGAATGGAAACAAAAATGGACGCAAAAATAGAGCACACCGTAAGATGTTTGGAGGAGGAGCTGAAATCAGTGTCTAACAAAATCCCGAAATGGAGCATCTTTCGAATTCCCAAGAGACTCCGGCATGTGAATCCGGAAGCATATACTCCTCATCTCATTTCAATCGGTCCGCTACACCACGGTAATAACAGCTTATCTTACATGGAAAAGCATAAACAAAACTACTTGTTTGCTCTTTTGTCTAGAACTGGGAGTGATTACTCTAAAGTGCTGGATGCTTGTGTTCGTACGATGGTAGGCATTGAGTCTCAAGCCGACAATTGCTACGCCGGACATATTCCTAATGATGGGTTAAACCTATCCAAAATTCTCATCACTGATTCTTGCTTTATCATCGAATTGTTCCTTAGATACTACTGGGAGGTCGTGGTCGGCAATAAGGATGACATTTTGAGATTAAGTGACTGTAAGCTGTTGTCCCGTCCTAATAACACTACTTGTATGAATGATGATCCTATCTTCCAGTCCAACTGGATCATCTCCACCCTGAGGCGAGACTTGGCGCTGTTAGAGAATCAAATCCCGCTCTTTGTCCTGCAGGAACTGCTGAATACTTTAGCAACAGTTGCATGCTGTCGTAATTCGCTCCAAAATAATTTACTTGCTGGATTGATATTCCAATTTTTTAAGCCAGATTTGTGTTCCAACCCTGAAAGAAACCGAGAAGCTGCACCCTCGCAACAACAACACAGGCATCTGCTGCATCTGCTTCATATTTTTCATCTTCCTGCCGGGAATAGACGAGGACAATCAGGTGACAGTACTGGTAGAAAAGTGAAGTTTATCGACACTAATGTCACAAACCTGATAGATGTTGGAATGAAGTTGAGGGTTAAACAAGACAGCGGCTTGTTCAACTTCAACTTTGACAATAATGGAGTGCTCGAGATTCCACAACTTCGAATCCATGAGTGGAGTGATTCTCTATTCAGAAATCTCATGGCTTTCGAGCATTGCTTCCACGGAGGAGGGCAGTTCATTGCTTCCTACATAAATCTAATGAACTGCCTCATCGAAAACAAAGACGATGTCAAGCTACTCAAGGGAAAGCAAATCATAACAAACGAGCTAGGAGGAGCGGAGTATATGGTGGACTTCTTCAAGGAAATCTGCGAGCAAGTCGTCATTCAAGACTTTTACTTCCACGATTCGTGTGAGAAGATTAACAAGTATTATCAGTCGCGGTGGCGGAGGTATATTCATGATCTTAAGAAAAACTATTTCGCTACTCCTTGGACAACGATTTCCTTGAATGTTGCTGCTTTGATTCTATGTCTTGCAACAGTTCAGACTGTCTAAAGCACACTTTCATACTACAAAGATTAATACCAAAAAAGTAATTGCTCAAAGAGTATGATGCAACTTGGCTGACGTGAACGAACACAACAGCTTAATTATCTAGCACAAGTCAAGTTAAAACGGGTCAATTTTACCTTTAAAGGTCAGGTCGAGTCATGTCAAGTTGGGTCAATATTTATGTATTTTTGTTTTGGTCGAGTATACTCGAGGTAGAGATGGTTTAAGTTTGATAAGTTATTTCGGGTTTAGGTAGAGATGGTTAACTTAAGATAGGCTAAATTTTAAATTCAAATTATTTTAGGTTTTGAATCATTTAATTAAGTCTATTCATCATTGGATTAAAGTCACCTTAGGTCAATCAGGTCATTTTTCAATTCAAGTCTGGATTAAATCGGATTATTATATTCTTCTCAAGTCAACTTGGGTGTGAATTTTGTTATATGGTGGTCAATTTACTAATTTGGGAACGATGATGTTGAACGAATATGAAATGAGTATTTATATATCATTAATAATTTATTTGTATTAGGTTTCTCTAACCTGGCCTATCAGTACAATTGTACATCAATTAATACCTACAATTACTCCATTCGTTCCGAATTGACGTTTACATATGTTGATTTTACGCAGTTATTAAGAAAAATAATATAGTGAAAAACAATGATTAAATGTCACAAATATTTAAAATTAAAACATTAAGTCGATGTTGGAAAATGGAAATATATATATTTAATTTGCTTGGAGAGCAGGTATATATTTGGTATATAGGATTAGTTGCTTTTGGGGTATGTAGGTATTTTGGTAAATATAACCCAAAAAATCTTTTTCTCTCGCCTCTTCCTCTCTCCCTCTCTAAAAAAAACCCTAAAATCTTTGGTAGCCACAAGGGGCTACCATCATCACCTCTTTGATGATGGTAAGCCCCAATTATTTCTTTATTTCCTTTGTTTTTTATTTTAATAATCCTCCTTGCTGTCGCTTTATGGGAGTTTTCTTCCCAATATTTGGGTTTCTTCTCTCCTTTTGCGCTGCGAGAGTTTGGTGTTTGTCTTTCTTCTCTTCCCTTATGGAAGATTGAAATTTGTTTTTAGGGTTTTATCTGAAAGATTGGATTCATGGGTTGTTAGTCGTACAATTTTGCAATTGGCGTTGGAATTGAGGATGAGATCTACATGGTCAAGTAACGAATTTTCTTCCCAAAACTATGTCAAGAAGATGGACTCCCTCACATAAGGCTGCATAAATCAGCGAACAATCGGGGACAGTGCTTCAACGTCAGATTTAGTTTCTTATCATCATAGTTTCTTTAAAGAGGATTTTTACTTGATCAATTTAGATTGTATTTTACTTTTCTATATTGCTTATTGTAGATGTCGTATGACTTTCAATTAATGAAATTTTATCTTTCCCTTCAAAAAAAAAAGGTATTTTAGTAAGCAAAAATAGTTGCATTAGAAGTATGTATAAATGCAGAAAAATGTGTTAAAAAAAATGTACTAGACTTAAAATGTGTTGAAGCGTAACTAACTAAGGGGAACAACCAAAGTACGTGACCATCATTTAGGAATGGAAGGAATAACCTAAATACTAACCAAGAGAATTTTTTAAAAAAACTGTTAGATTTAACGGTTTTCTTGACGGTAGGTGGTAATAAAAAACAATTTTTAGAATTATTTTTTGGTGGTAAAATAAAAGTTTTAGAAGTTTTGGTGGTAAAAAACAATTTCGTGTTCTTTTTTGGTGGTAAAAGTAAAAAAAAAATCCTTTTTTTTTCTTTTATATACACAATTCATAATTAATTAATCTATTTATACAAAATAATAAATTAAAATCACCCCATATAAACGTACAAACTCGGAATAAAAAAAATACGCAACTCTTAATTCACAATTGATACAAATCAAAACTAAAATCTAGGGATGTCAACGGGGCGGGGCGGGGCGGATGTTGGATTTCCCATCCCATCCTCGCCTAACATTCTCATCCCCATCCCCATTCCCATCCCCGTGGCGGGTCCAAAATTCATCCTCATCCCCGCCCCAACGGGTACAATTCCAAAATCATCCCCGCCCCACCTCTCACTTGGATATCCACCCCCACCTAATCCCCGTCCAAGACCCACCTAATCCTCGCCTTCCAAATACAACAATATTACGTAATATACTAATATAGATTACAATAAAAAAAAATCATTGTTAATATTAATTTTATTACAACATATTATATTTAGTTATTTACTACTTTATTTTACATAAATTTTTTTAATATAAAATAGTATAGAAGTATACAATTTTAAAAAAAAAAATATATATATATAGATGTGGGTATGGGGTGGGTGGGTGGGGCGGGGCGGGGATGGGGTTGGTACAACCTAAAATCCACCCCCGCCCCATCACCCATGGCAGGTATGGTTTTCATCCTCATCCCCGCCCCACCACCCACCAAATCGGGACCCATCCCCTCCCTACTGGGGCGGGGATGGGACGGGTCTCCTACTTGACCCTCTCTACTGACATCCCTACTAAAATCTATATTCTATACTACATAATACATGCATATTACAACCACTTTTTTTTTTTACCTTCAAATATTTTTTTGGAAAATATAACGAGAATAATCCAATCTTATGTCCGTTCTCCCATATTAATCCCACCTTTTGATTATTCCTCATTAATCCAACCTTTTCCCCCCTTTTTCTCACAGAATCCCTTGTAGGTCATCTGGCAATTACAACCGGTTAGAATGCTGACGTGGCACTTACCCTTTATTTAACCCCCCTCCTCCCTTCTTCTTCCCTGTATCGTGTTTTCCTCCTCAATTCTTCACAACCATTACCTCTCAATCCTTCCTAATTATTTTAGGTTGCGAATTAATTAAGAAATAATTTCTAAATATTAGTGCTGTCAATATGGATAGGGCAAAACAGTGTGCTACGAATTATGGTTCGTCATCTTCAAGGGGTTGTATGTCCACCTTGAAATGTAAATGTGGAACTAATGCAGTGGTGCGCACTGTGAAGAATGGTCCAAGTTGTGGAATAAAATTCTATGGCTGTCACTCATGGCCAGTGAGTTGCAATTTTGTTGTAATTGAATTTGGTTTTAAAATTTAGGGTTTATTTGGGAATTTAATACTGGTTGTTTGTTTTCCAATTGCAGGATGCGAATTGTGGTTTTTTCAAGTGGTATGGTGGTGTTAGGGAAATAGGGAATGAACTCCGCTTTCAGTTGTTCGAGAAGGAAACCACAATTGCGGAATTGGAAATGCAGAAGCAAATAGTTGAAGAGAAGGTTAAGAAGTTGCAATTGAAAAAGGAGAACATGGACGAAAACTTGCAAGAGTTGAAAGGAGAGGTTTCTCAAATGCGAATTGAACTTATGAAGAGTTCTAGGAATGAGAAGAATTTTTCTTTGGCTTTAATGTTGTCATGGGTCTTATTTGGGATTATTTTGATGTATTTGAAGTAGGTTGTGCTATGTCTAATGGTGTTAGAATTAGAGTGTAATGTGTGGAAGTTATGAATAAATAATGGAAGTTGTTTGGAAACATTCAATCTTTTGTGTGTGCATATATATGTTTGTGCATTGTGAAATGTGTTAACAGTGTAGCAAAAACCATGTTGACAGTGCAGCATAAACCATACACACTTGACAATAATTTGGCCAATAATAAAATATTGTTCACAAAATATTCCCTAAGTCAAAAGATAGGCTAAAATTACATGCCACCATCTTAGTTTTCATCATAATACTTGTTGTTGTTGTGTTGAACACATCATCACACCTTGTCAAACTTGGCTGCCTTGAGTTCCGGGGTCATTTTTCCTGACTTGAAAAGGTCCCTGTGTACACATGAAAGTACAGTGTAAGTGAACAAAGAAGATCATAAAGACATGTAACAAAACAGAGTGAAATGAGCTAACTCACTGGTTGGATAGCACTGCCATCAGCTGAAACGATAATCCCAACACCAATAGGAGGCCTGTTCCTTCCTCTTCCCCTTCCCCTTGATCTTCCTTGTCCTGCTGCAGTGCTCTCACCAACAGATTCAATAGAAGAGGATCTGCCACCTCTTGAACCCCTGCTACCTCTTGAACCAGGTCCTCCTCTTATCATCCTCCATCCTCTCCCTAGTTGGGTATGTTGTGCAATAGCAAGGTGATGTTGTTGTGTGGCACCAGCAGATTGCAGCACAGTAGAGGCTTGAGTTTGTTGGTTAGCAGAAGTTGGTGTAGGTTCTAGTTGACCTAGGTTTGCTGAATGGGGTATTTGACCATCATTCATTGGTCTGCCCTTTGGTCTTTTTGCTGGAGGTTCACTAACAGTAGCTGTGTCCTTATTTGGACACCTTTTTTTTTGTTATGACCCTTCTCTTTACACACACTGCAGGTCATTTCCATTCTTACCCTAGTCAATTTCCCTGGTTTTTTGGGATTCTCATAAGGATCCTTGATCCTATTTTTCCTAGGCCTGTCTGGTCCTATCTTAATGGGAGGGGGTTCAAGGCTAGAATTCACTCTTGGCTAATGTCTTTTCCCCTCACATGGTGGAATTGACCCTGAAATTGAGACCATAAGCATACATATATTAACAACATCAACAATCAACATAACTCAATGATTAACAGCATAGCCTAACTTTAACTAAAACCATACCCGCATAAGCTTTCAAGTACACATCCTTTATGTACCATTTATCAACATAGTCTTCAACATTTTGATGTAAGAAAAAGATGCATGCAACTGCATGGCAACATGGTATTCCAACCATGTCCCACTTCCTGCAAGTACAGGTTCTTGCCTCCAAATTCACAATAACTGATCAAATTGGTAGCTGCCATTAAACAAGGATTCAGTTGAAGGCATGACATCACAGTGTGAAGCTTTGTCTTTCTCTTTCTCAAGCTTCATCTGAATATCAGGGCAAAGAACTGAAGTACATTTCTGCATTTCAAGCCTCTTTAGAACAAGCCTCTACATCAAGGCAGCCCTAATCTCTTTAAGCATATAGATGAGATGCTTTGTTCTAGCATTGATGATATACCCATTAAAGGTCTCAGCCATGTTACTAGTGATTGCATCTGTTTTCACATATGTGTCCAAAAAGGCTCTGCAAAATAGCTTAGAGTTGTAGCTTTTAAATGTAGTGGCAACATCTGAGTTTAAGGTCTGCAGCTTCTCTAAAGCATCATTATAATCAGCTAAGTTGTATGACTTAGCTATTGTCCAAAACAGAAGCTTCAAATCATCCCCTTTATAAGTCTTATGCCACAATGCAAACACATGCCTAGCACAGTGTATGTGCTCTGCCTTAGGGAGAACAACCCTAACACCATTCAATATAGCCTTCACACCACACAACATAACATAAGCATATATCACAAATAAGACACAAATGCATAAAATTGAAAATAACTGTAAGAGACAGAAGATATACCATGTGTTCATCTGAAATGATGCAAATCCCTTCTCCATCTCCAATAACTAGGCACTTCTGAATTTGCTCAAAAAACCACTCCCAAGAC